AACATTACTTGAAGTATATTAGAAAAGCCTTTTATATAATCAGTTGTATCAAATTTGGTACAACTAAGATACTTCAGTGGTATCAAATCTTGGTGGGTGAACTGAAGTGGGGGTAATTTTTAGTCTGACTTTCTCTCCATCCATTATGTTCTGAGTTTGTTGCTTTGTTTTTAGAGGAAATTGCTTTAAGAACTGCTGACGTTGCTCAGCTTCCCCCCCAAGTGTTAAATGAAGAGGTCATCTGCTTAGACAGCACCAGCAGTGGTAGTGAGGATGACTCCAAAGGAAGACTCCATAGCATTAAAGATGGTAAGAATGGATAGAAAATTCATTCCTGCATTATGGCTTCCAACACCTTTGTATCTTGCACTCAGCAGGATTCCTTTTTTTTTTTTTTTTGAAAAATACAAGTAAATGTTATTTCTTAAGAATTTTAATCAGTAACTCCCTTTAATTTTTTTTTTGTCATCACAGTACTTTGTTTGAAAATAAAACATCATTTATTCTATTTCAGGGTTTTAGTGACAGTTTTTGGGCTTGTCGAAAGAACATTTCCAAGTTGAAAAATATTTTAGAAACTGATAAAATTTATGAAATTGACTAGGGATAAAAATGTATGAAATTGACTAGGCATAATAAATGCCATATCAAACCATTACAAAGTGTTTAATAACTCGGTACTAATCGGAATCAGTCAATATGATTACTTTCATATTTTCATTTTTTTTATTATTATTATTTGCCCTTTTCCACTTTTTACTAGATGAAGACAGAGGGTCATAAGTCACCGTATATGTTTGACTATAAAATATAATAGATATGCTAATCCTCTACATCTGGTTGTGTTGCAGAAGTGATAGAATTAAGTTCAGGAGAAGATGAAGCCCTCCATATTGTAGACAGCAGTGATTCTGGCAATGAAGGGGATGATGATACTGAAGAGAGCAGTGGTGCCCACGTGAATGATGCTCTAAATCAGTTAGATGCTTCAGGGCAAGTAATTATTAACATCAACCATCCACCAAATGAAGAAGACATTTATCTGGCTCCTCAGCTTGCCCGAGCAGTAAAGCCTCACCAGGTATTGAAATTTCTGCTGCAGAACTGAACATAATTGTCACCAAATTCTCTTCTAGACCAGTGGTGGCGAACCTATGGCACGGGTGCCAGAGGCGGCACTCAGAGTCCTCTCTGTGGGCACGCGCGCCATCGCTCCACTCCTAGGCCTTCAGCTGGGTTTTATAAAACCTTTTCGCTTTAGGCCTCCGCCGCCATGTGTAAAAAAAAAAAGGTTCAGTCAATTTCAACTTCTCGCGGGAAAAAAAGATCTTGCAAAGTTGGAATTGATTGATTGAACTTTTTAGTCCCACCCAGTCTGCCATTACCACCGCAGCCCCGCCTACCAATGGGCCATGCCCACCCAATTGGCCACGCCCACCTGGCACTCGCCGATGCATAAGTGGGTTTTGGGTTGCAGTTTGGACACTCAGTCTCTAAAAGGTTCGCCATCACTGTTCTAGACATTTTACTATGACATGTCATTGATTTATATAAACCTCAGTGGATTTTATTTGCCTGTGTTTGTGGTTTTGCATTTACAAATTAGGTCCATAACCACTAACTTGATAGTACCCGTCCATAATCTCTTTGACACTATTTGTTACTCTTTCTAGATCGGTGGTATTCGTTTCCTATATGATAATTTGGTGGAATCCCTGGACAGATTTAAAACCAGCAGTGGGTTTGGCTGTATCTTAGCTCATAGCATGGGGCTGGGCAAGACTGTGCAAGTCATCTCCTTTTTGGATGTACTTTTCCGTCATATTGAAGCAAAGACTGTCCTGGCAATTGTACCTGTAAGTAGGCTGTGCGAAACTCTTTACTTGAGTCTGCTTAGGTGGACAAAGGACCTTTCAAATACTTAGCAAGTTTTGATGTTCCTCAACTTCTGTATTTGCCTCTTTAAATTTTCCTATCCGTGAAATATTTGTATAATATTTTTTTCAGTGTTTTAAGGTATTTGTAGAATGAAATATATAATTAATGGATCCCATTGCTTCTTTCTTGCCATTTTCCTTACAGGTAAATACTCTTCAGAACTGGTTAGCAGAGTTCAACATGTGGCTTCCAGCACCAGAAGCCCTTCCTGCTGACTATGACCCAAAAGAGATTCAGCCTCGCACTTTTAAAGTCCACATTTTGAATGATGAACACAAGTAAGGAGAATTAATTCTATTTTGGAGATGTTATTTATAATTGCTGCTGTTGGAGCATTTTGCGCCCTGTTTATGGATATTGGAAAGTTCTCTTGGTAATTTCTACAGATTTATTTATGACAACATCTGATTAATTTCAGTGTAGCAATAAGTATAATTGCCAAAATAAGTAGGATACCATCCATTACATTCCCATCTCAACTTGCTCACGTCCCGAGTCTTACAATACTGTCCTCTTTTATTTTCTTACAAAATATAAAAAAGACAATAACCTTCCCAGATGAATTAAGCATATAGGAAGAATATTATGCTCACAGTGGAAAACAGTGAGCACCATATTGCATTTAAAATGTAAGTGGAAGCCGGTGACATTGAGTGCAAATACTTTAGGCTCACTGAGAGTCTTAAGGTTAGTGACAGCCACAGTTAATAGCAGGATTTGTCCTATCCATTGTATTTTGAACTAGCTTGACTTTCCAAATAGACTTTGACTATACATGCATGCACATAGAGTTAAATTCTCCTTTTTCACAAAGACTGTCCCGTTTGTATTTTGCCTACCTGTGTTTTTTTTTTCAGGACCACTGCAGCACGTGCCAAAGTGGTAACTGACTGGGTGACAGATGGTGGTGTACTGTTGATGGGCTATGAGATGTACCGCCTACTTTCATTGAAGAAATCCTTTGCTATGGGCAGGAAAAAGAAAAGCAAAAAGCAAACTGGCCCTGTCATTATTGATGTGGATGAAGAAGATCGTCAGCAGGAGCTCTTAAAAGGTGAGAACCCACAAACCTCCTTTTATGTATATCTTTCACTCCCATTTAAATGATACAATTCTTAGACGACTATTTTTATTAGCATTTGGACGTGAACAGACAGACATTCTGAAATCAGGAAACCACTAAGGCAGGAGTCTCCAAACTTGGCAACTTTAAGACTAGTGGGCTTCAGTTCCAGGAATTCCCTCGCCAGCGTGGCTGAAATCCACCAGTCTTAAAGTTGCCAAGTTTGGAGAATCCTGTACTAAGGAATATATTTCCTGTTTCAACAGAAAAGTTATATTCTAGTTTGTTCGAATTCTTTAATTAATTTATAATTCCTTTATTAACATAAAATGCTTAGAAGCAGAGTTTCTCTGAACTCTTCTGCTGCATGTTTCTTTACTGTAATGCAACTTTTTGTGGAAAGAGTTTGTGTTAATATTGTCCCAGTTCTCACTGCTTTTCACTGATTTGCTGCTTTTTAAAAAAAATAAACTTCCATAGCAAACACGTATTCTAGTTTCACTTGCCACTGCATTCAGTGAAGGATGTCATTGGGAATTTTAAATGATACTTATCTAGCCTAAGACAGGGAAGTAATCAGTGTCTTTCTGTTATCAGTGTTGTCTTGAAAACTGAAGCAGAGATTTCTGAAATCCAGTAATAATTTCTGAGCAGCTCATTTTCCTTTCTCCAAACTCCTTATTGGATTTAGCACAATTCTTAATAATTATGCCACTTCGGTTAAGACTAGGGTAGAATAGATTCCTTTGGAGACATTTTTTTTCCCTTTCAGGAATTGAGAAAGCTTTATCCCGGCCTGGACCAGATGTGGTCATTTGTGATGAGGGACACCGGATAAAGAATTGTCATGCAAGCACCTCTCAGGCTTTGAAAAGCATCAGATCTCGGCGAAGGGTAGTTCTGACTGGCTACCCACTGCAGAACAATTTAATTGAATATTGGTGTATGGTAGACTTTGTACGCCCCGACTTTCTTGGTACCCGGCAGGAATTCAGTAATATGTTTGAGCGCCCTATCCTGAACGGACAGTGTCTTGACAGCACCTCCCATGATGTTCGTCTAATGCGGTATCGCAGTCATGTCCTGCATAGCCTGTTGGAAGGCTTTGTACAAAGGTGAGGCCATTTGCCACATTCACAGTCCTTCAGTCTTTGGAAGAAGTATTTAAATAATGAGTGGATGGGAAGTGTTTGGTTCATCAGGTGGACGGATTAGATTTTAGGCCAGTGATGGCGAACCTTTTAGAGACCCAGTGCCCAAACTGCAACCCAAAACCCACTTATTTATCACCGGGTGCTGGATGGGTGTGGCCGCAGTGGTCATGGCAGAATGGATGGGCGGAGCCAGGGCGGCAGGGGCCAGTCCCTCACCATCTCTGGGGCACGGCATGGGTGCCCACAGAGAGGGCTCTGAGTGCCGCCTCTGGCACGCGTGCCATAGGTTCACCACCACTGTTTTAGGCCATCATTAGCAGTACCCTTTTGGTGCATGTGCCATTAAATCTAGTTTCATAATAATAGGTTGCTTTGGTAAATATTTTGGGCATATGAAAATAACTTATGAGGGCTTGATAGTGTAAATGCGTGAAGTATGTACATTAAATGTAATTTCATCATAGATTATAATACGTGGAAGTAAATATTCAGTTGCGAGATTATACTTGGTTACAGACCAAACACTTAAGATTTTGCAATAATCGGCTGTGGAAAATTAATCTCCACATATAAAGTGCTGATCACACTTGTTCTTTTACATTTATTAATAACCATACCTAAATTGAGGTGTCTGGTGCTTACTCCTTTCCATTCCTAATAGAGGGACGGAGAGCAGACTTTGAGGAACTTCTTTCCTAATATTCTTTTCTCTTGTTTCTGTAGACGAGGGCACAACGTGCTGAAGGTTCAGCTTCCCGCTAAGGAAGAACATGTTATCTTAGTGCGTTTGTCAAAAATCCAGCGTGCTCTTTATACTGAGTTCATGAACAGGTTTCGTGAAGCAGGCAATAGCGGCTGGCTGGGACTGAACCCACTTAAAGCCTTCTGTGTTTGTTGTAAGGTGTGTTTTTAATAAAAAGGGAGCAGTATTTTGGGTAGGTTTTATGAAAATATAACAGTTAGGATGATATTAGTATTATTTAGAGGCCAGTTTTCATTCCACATCTTAAATGCTGTGTCTAATTTTTTCGAACAATATGGGGATAATGCCGAACGCAACCATCTTTTAAGTCTCCCTCCTATAAGAAGTTCTAAACATTCTCTGAATACTAGTTACCAGTGATACAAAGCTTTGGATTGCAATTTGGCTTAGGGTATTTTGATTAGTGTGCTTTTATTTATTTATTTATTTATTTATTTATTTATTAGACTTATATGCCGCTCTTCTCCCCACAGGACTCAGGGCGGCTCACAGCATATTAAAACAGTACAAAGCACTATCCCCAATAAAAACCAATTAAAAACAAATATTTACCGCTGTGTCATGTTAAGATAATAATTAAGATTGTCCCTATTTAAAATTCTCCCTAGGCCAGACCCGCTTGCTGAAAAAGCCATGTCTTGAGGGCGCGGCGGAAAGCT